GCCTCTCATTTGCCTGGAGGAACGATACGACTGTAACAGCTTCTTCCCACTCGATTTTAACCTCTAGATGTGGATTTCTGGATTTGAGCTGTACAATGAGGGAGTCAGTTGCTTTATTGAATGCAAATTCTTATGGTTTGATAGAGAAAGATCTTGATCCACAGGTAAATGCCAAAGATGAGACTTCTGAGCTGCTTTAAACAGTTCCATCATCTGAAGCTGAGTGATTCAGGGATTGGTTTAGGCTAACAGTATCTTTTCCTACATTTTACCTCTCATCTAAATCAGGAATGACTGAGAGACTGAACATCCTATGCTGCATGCTGTTTGATGCAAAGTAGAGGTTTTGGTCCAGTAGAAACTAAAGCAGTTTGTACAAGACTAGCAACAAAGCTATGGATTAACAAGTCTTACTGCATGTCCTTCTCAAGAGTGCATTGTGGTGACACATGTTGACGGCCAGTACTGGAGAGGAGCTTGAGCCAATGGTACCTGTGTTGCACCAGCATTTTGCAGATAAGACTTCGCAGGCCTGCAAATGATCTAACATGTGTTGTGGTCTGTAGTTGTGGAGAGAAAGTGTTTATATGGGTGATGGGAAAGTGTTTATAATGTGTGATGTCTGGATATGGGGCGAAGTGAAAACTATAGGTATGTTTTCTTCAATTATTCCATTTTACATTTATTTTACTGTCTGCAATGGGCTATTCTTGCTGTCTTTATAGGAGGAAGAAGAGCAAGAGGAAGAAGATGATGATGAAGATGATGATGATACGGATGACCTTGATGAACTAGATACGGACCAGCTGCTGGAGGCCGAGCTGGAGGAGGATGAGAACAATGAGAATGCCGGTGAGGATGGAGAAAATGACTTTTCTCCCTCGGATGATGAGGAGCTTGCCAACCTCCTGGAAGAGGGAGATGAGGGTGAAGATGAAGATTCTGATGCTGATGAGGAAGTTGAGCTCATTCTTGGAGATAGTAAGTGTGTGCCCAGCTTGGTAACCGCAGGTGACATTGTCATCTTGTTTAATATCCTGGCAAAAATGCAAATCTAAGTTTTCCCTGAAATGGCCTAACTGACTTTCCCCCTCGCTGGTTTGAAAGGCACCAATCATCATGCTTGTTCACCTATGGCTTCTCAAAGTAATCTGTGGGTAAAACCAGCTCTTATCTGAGAAGACAGCTGTGAGTTCTGGAAAGGAAGGTATCTCCTTTCTTAAGTGCTCCCAGGTGCGTGTGTGAGAAGTTAAAGACAGGCCAAGAAACTCGATGTGAAGAAGCCTTGCATGTTTGCTTGCCAGTCCTGCCTTTCAAGGGGATGCTGGTTGAACTGTTACCTTGGCTGTCTTCTCTGCCATATTTGTACCTGTAAGGACAGAGAAGTATTTTTGCTCCTTGGTGCTATTCTTTCTCTTTTGTGATTGCTTAAAGTGCAAAACCAACATGGCATTTCTGACTTCACTTCCTTTTTTAGACTTCTGAAGCTAACAACTTTGGGGATAAAATTTAAATTGTTCTCTTTTTTTGGCATTCCACAGACACAGAGACTTGAAAGTTAATGAAGTGTGTGTCTGTAAGAAAGAAAGGTCTGAAAACTCTTTATGTAGCAATTTAATTTGGAAAAAGGCTTTACAAGAAAGAGAATGTGAGTAGGACAGCATCAGGCTTGGGATTTGACACCAGATTCTGTTCCCTTTTTTGCAGCACAGTTTTTGAGTATGTATGGCCAAGCAACTTAGTTCTTTTTAATTTCCAAGCTGTAAAATGGGGATAATAGTTACCTTAAGTTAAAGGTTGGTAAGGATAGGGAATTACAGTGTGCAAGGTTTGAAGTCCTGCAGTGATAGGAGATTGATTCCCACCTCAGCTCTCGCATGAATCTTCTCTGCCAATGCGCTGGAGGATTAAGTGTGCCAGGCCTCTGTTTTGGCACTGACGTGGCTGGCAGACTCACTCACGCCCCGCTTTTGTGTTAGAATGCAGCTCAGTCCTTTTTAAGGCGGCGGCTACATCAGGTTGCCAGAGTTGTTCTGTGAGGTCAGTCTGTGGTTCTCTTGAAGGCAGTAGGGATACAATGCAAGGCCATATAGGGCATCTACGTGGCTCCAATTCATTAATGGCATATTGCAGTTCAACATTTTGGGATTGCTGATAACTTCTGCCTGTCCCAGTAGCTGGCAGGACCTTCTTGACACAACTCCACTTCTGTTTCCTCAGGCTGTGCAGGGCTGGAAGCTATGAAGAGGGCACCCAGGGTGCTGTAACTTGAATCGTCCAAGGGGCAGAATGGAGGGGAAGTTCAAGCCATTTCAATAACTATTCCTGTAACAAAACTAGATGCTACTTGGCGCTTAAGTTATTTCAAGTGTGCTCTGCAAAGCACTGCATATTATGAAATGGCCACATCTGTACACCACTTATGGATAGAACCACTTGATCAGAACTTTGATCTGGTATCACTGTGGAGCTGCAGCCAGCCCATCCTGTGGCTGTTAGGTTGCTTGGCAGCATCTTTGGGAACTTAAAGCAGGGAGTGCAGCTCTTCCAGGCTGATGTATGTGTGGCCCTTGCACACTGTTTGATGGGTGGGGTTTTGTGGCTTCAACTTCATCTGGCTTGCTTTTGTTTCTCACCCAGCAAGAGCAATTAAAATTCCATCTCCTTTGCTTATGCTGTGTTCCAGAATTAAAAGTTGTAAGGGTGCTGACACCGTTGCAAAGTACAGATCTGAGGCATGGTGATGTATTTAGAGTGCTTCCTACTGCAAACCCTTGCTGTATTTTGGATGAACCTCCCTCCATAACATACAGTGGGTGTGCTTCGAAACAAAGTAATTCAAAGAACAGCTGAAACAGAGGAGTGAGTGGCTTTGGTTCCTTGTGCTGTGGAAGAGGTTTCTTCCTTATCGGGAATAATCCATGGAGATCCTTTTAAGTATGAATTTGTCTTCTCATTTGTCACCACCTTGGGGAGGGTGGATCTGTTTGTTGTGACCAAAGCAGTTTATGCATTGTGCAGATCTTTCAAAAGCTTGTTCCTGGGCCAGTCAGTGGGGTGTCCTTTCTGAAATGCACGTGTGACATAGGATGGAAGAAATATATGGAATTCTTATCAGTAGCATGGCTGACTCTTGTTTCCTCTTCTGTAATTGAAAATGGCAACTTCCAGGCAAGTCTATAAGCTTCTGCCAAGCAGTTAGCTACAATCAGATTTGCTTATAGACATGGAGCTCAAAATTGGAAGGTTGTGTGGTGGACTGGAGAATAAAGAGTTAGGAGATCCCTTTTCAAAGCTTTCCGCTGGTCTTTTTTTTAAAAAAAAGAAAACCCCAACAACTTTCTCAGCTTCTCTTCTTCAGAGTTTCTGGATTGTTGTCTTGCTTGTGCTTCTTTCCCTCTTACTGTGTAAGTGTAGCTGCTGTGGCACTGGCTGGTGTTTTCCAGCTCCCCTTCCGTGGCTCTAGCTGTTCTGGGAGCACTGATGACCCCTCAGCTGAGGCTCAGTATGGTGGATGGTGAGACTGGAGCATCCCTTGCTGATCACAGTTGAAGGGCTGCTGGCTGATTTTCAGGGAGGAGGGTTGAGGGAAAGGGTTTGTGCCCTCTGCTTGCCTGTGATTTCTTTTTTGCTGAGGAAAGCATCTGAGAAGGGGTGAACCTTCCAAAAGGCCTTGCTTACGTTGACAGGCATTTTAAAGATCTACTGTAACTGAGGTGGCTAAGAGGAAGTCTTGGTTTTGTTGTTTGGTTTTTTTTTTTTTTAAGTTTTTAATATTTAACACCTAGTTAACTGCAGCATCCAATGAATTCACATAAGAAAAAGAACCAACATCACCTCTCTAGGGTAAGGCAGGAGACCTCTTGCTGCCAGAGCTGCTACCACTTCCCTCTTGCACAACTGAGGGAGGAAAGATGTTTTAAGATAAAAAGCAAGTGTGTATGTGACTGCTTCTTGGCAAATCCTTTCATGTCTTCATTCTGTACCACAACGAAGAAAACCAGGAAAAGCACAATTTTCAGTTCTCCTTTAATGAGTTGCATGTAGTTAAATTAATTACAGAAACCTTCAGGCTCTTAGAGGAAGGTTCTAATTGTGAGTGTGTGGATTGCTTCTGCTGCTGTGCTGTGCAGAGGGGAGTGACAGGGCAATAAGAACCTGGTACTGAGAAAGTCTGGGTCTAACTGACAGCAGAATGAATTAGCCCCGTGCACATTATACAGAGGCCATATTTCACCACATAAGGTTGGTGGAACTGTCAAGATTGCTTTCAAATAATAGCTGTAAGGAATGACTGCCAGATCTGTCTAGCCCCCAGCATGAAGAGCTATTGCACTGAGATGTGCACAGTCAGCTGTGCAGGCAGCTCGTGTGCAGGTAACTTACTGCTGGGGTCCTTCTCCCCATCTTGTCATGGGAAAAAAACCTGGCAGCTAATAGAAACTGCACTTGCTAAAGCTGCTCTCCTCTTGACCCTCCCTTTTAACCAGGGAAAGCAAGCTCTGGTGCAGATTTGCCTAACTGCTTTTGATTGACTTGAAATGCTCTAATGGTGTAAGCTGCCCCTGTCATTGCTGGAGAGCTGCTGGTCTCAAGCAGGTGGTGGCCATCTCTGTAACTATGAATGTGTTACAGTGCTTAGCAGCCTTGACAGCTGTGTTCTTCCACAAACCAAACATAACCTGCATGTCTCCTTTTCAGCCGACAGCTCAGATAACTCTGACTTGGAGGACGACATAATCCTGTCTCTGAATGAGTGAGGAGTGACTGCCAGGCGGGGGGTGTTGGCAGGATGAGACGCTCCCTTCCCTGCAGAAGACCGGAGACCAAATTGGAAACCGATTCTGAACACCCCAACCCTTTTTCTCCTGGGAAAACCTGAGGAACTCCAGCCCATCCGCTGTGTTGGTTTGAATCAGTTTGAGGCTTGGGGCTAAGTCTGAGGCTCTACAATAAAGAGACCTGGGGTTAGGCCTCTTTTCTCTCTGCCTTTTTTTTTTTATTTTTTATTTTAGGCTGAGATGACTCTCCTCTACAAGGAAACTTCTGAAGATATTTCACAATATATTTTCTTTGTATAAAGTTCTTTCCTAAAGAACAGAAATAGTTTTATATAAAACAAAAAAAATACCAAAAAAAAAAGGCAGGTGATCTAGTAAAGAGGGGATGAACTTTGTATTCCTGTAGTACCTTGTTACCATGGGGTAGGTTCAGGGGAGAAAAATTGTTTAAAAGAAGAGGCATTTTTATGCAACTGCTAAATGAAATAAGAGGATCATCGTTTCTAAAATTGTTGAGGAGTGAGAATATTTTTATTTTAAATATGATTTTATTTTTTAAAAAAAAAAGCAACAGGTGTTAACACCTGCTAGTGCGCCAGTGTGTTTCAGATGCTTTTGTCCTCCAGGGAAGAGCCCTGGGGGTGTTTGGTAACTGAAGGTACAGGCTGTTTAAAGCAGAGATTCTCGCTGTGGTACCAGCTATAGTGGGAGGCTGAAATCCTGGCTTGGTCTAGTCAGAGCCTGGTATTCCTGAAGACATGGGGATCCGGGATAGAAGTCTGAGCCCTCTTTCTCCCCTCTGCCCTTTGTGGTTCAAGTTTTTTAATCTTTTTTTTTTTTCCCTCCCTTTTGCCCTCTGTGTGGAAACTGCAAATTGAAGGCCTTTTTCTTTAATGTAAAGTGTATTTATTAAAAAATTAAATACAAATCCTGTCTCTGTTTACGGCTGTGAATTGTAGCCATGCCCATGTGAAAGCAGTGCTCCCTGCAGCTGAGGAGCGCAGCCCCGTGCAGGAGAGCAGCTCAGCGTAGCTAGTGGCTGGACTGCAGTAAGGAAGGGCACAATAAAAGAGGGGTGAGATTTCTGAGAGCGTGGGCTCCACCTGCTGCTCCAGTCCATGGGGATTCCCAGAGCCAAGTGATATTTCACAGCACTGGTGGGTTCAACTCTGACTTGTTGGTTTTCCTGACAGCCTTGAATTCTCAGTGGGGTTGCAGGCAGCACGGCACCGCATCCTCACTGCGCTGTGAGAGCTGGAAGGTGCTGCTAATGCCAGGCTGGGATTTTGTTTAAAGATGCACCAGAATATCCACTCTGTGGTTCAGCTATGGGAAGCACAGTGAGCTGCGGAGAACTCTCACCACCTTGCTGGTGTGTGCCAGAAGGCGGGAGCATCATTCGGCCTCCTCATCCATCCGTGGTTTGGCATTACTTGGGCTGCCTTGTGGCTATACTGGCAGAAGGCAAACTAGGTGCTCCTGTTTGTACATGACAAGAGGCCCTGCCCTTAGAAGGGGATAAAAAAAAAAAGTGCAGTGGAGTGTTTGATTTCACTGTAAAGCACACAGCTGCACAGCTTAGTTCTGAATCAGAACCAGAAGGTAGGTGTGCTCATTGCTTGCTTGGACAAGGCCACTAAATGTGCTATTTATTCCCAGGTGTTCAGATAACATCCACTCAACTTCTTACCCTTTCTCTGTTTTGGCTACTTTCAGAATAGGGTTTGAGGCAGAACAGGGAGCTGGAGGCTTCTCACTCCTTGACACTACAGCAAGTTTTCCACCAAGAACTGTGCTCGTTTCAACTAAGGCTCAAGGTTGCATTGCTTGAAGAGGAAGGATTTTCTTTTTAACCTGGAGAAGGGATAGCTTTTCTTCCTTCCACCATCGCATCTACTTAATGCACTTACCCAGGGCTGCTTGTTAATAATTAAAATGAAAGGTTCTGCTGCAACTTATAATGGATAATTGTACCCTACAGAGTTGATAAAGATGAACGAGTTGCGATTACTACAGCATTTAAGACCAGCAATTGGAGCAGCATTCTGATTAAATGAGGGGATTGAAAATCGGATATGCCATCCAGCAGCTGTGGAAGCCAGCCTCTGCCTTATCAAAAAGCATCTTATGCAACTTTACCTTAGAAAATGTGCTGCTCAGGAGGAGGAAAAAAAAAATAAAGCATGTACTCAACTACTACTAAGAGAGGGAGATAACTGTGCCAGATGTCCATGTCTTGTTCTGGCATTATATCACAGCTATAATCAGCTGCATCTGTTGCTGTTTTGGGCCTGGCTATCTCAGAAATTTACCAACTACTTTGTGAGACAGAACCAGAACATCTACATAAATTTGACCAGGCCACCATAACTATATGTGCAATCCTTCCCCTCCCACACCTACCCCAGCTTTAGTGAACAGAGACAAAGGGAGTGCACTTGGGCCTTAGCCTGTGGCTGAGAGGGCAGCACCTGGCTGCTGCAGTCTGCGGGTCACCCACCAAAACCTGCTAAAGCAGCCCCCTCTGCCTGTCCTGGGCAGGCTCTCGGCCTCCCTGCTGCTGAAGTTGAATAGGACACCAAAGTTAAATATGCAGCTGTGGGGGAGGCTGCCTGTACCCTGTGTTCCCTCCATTGTTCTTGCGGGGCATCGTTTAAGAGTGCCGGGAAATAGGGTGGCTGTAAGGGGCTGGGTGCAAAGTGGGATTCAGAATTGCAGACTAGCAGGGTTTTGCTTGTTTGTTTGTTTTTGTCAGCCCATAATTCTGTCAGTAGTTGGGATGGGGAGAGAAATCTCAGTGTTTGGAAATTCATCTTGTCCCCTAGCATCATGTATTAATTTATTTAAAAGCATTGTGCTTGGAAAAAGGCCTATAATCTTCCTGAGTACACACAGCATGTTGCTTATGTGATGCCATGCAGTATTTCTTCTATGCAAGCATTACAGACCTTGGCTTAGGGGATGGAAGGAGCATGTATATGTCCTGCAAGCTGGATAAGATGTGTACCTACCTCTCTGCAACGGAGGGGAGCCTTTGCAGGATGGATGCTGCATTTTCCCCTGTGATGTGAGCAGGGACTATCCCAGTGCCAGCCCATGCCCTCATATCAGCATGGTCCTTTTCACTCTGTGGCTGGGCCATGAGTAACCACTTGGCCCATTTGCTCTACTGCAGCATGGTGCCATGGAGTACAGGCTGCGCAACAGTTGTCCCAGCACCCTGGGAGGCTGCATGCAGAGCCCTGCAGCATAGGGGTTCAAAGGAAAAAAAAAATAATCTCCTGTAGGCCATGTGGGAGAGCAGGGTAGCAACCTGCGAGCTGGTCAGTAGTGTGACCTGGGTGTTAGCTAAGGGTAGTAATAAAGGTGTCTGGCTCATCAGCACTGGTCATATGCACTTGCTGGGCACCTGGGATGGCCTGGGGCTAGCCCTCTTGTCCACAGTTCTGTTGTAGTAAAGGTGGCTAAAAACTGATGTTAAAAAGAGGCTTTGTAAGACAGAATATTTACTGAATGGGTATTAAAAAAAAAAATAAAAAATACAGCAACTCAGTCTAAACACTAATGCTCTCAGACTGTGAAATCTACCATCCCACAACTCTGAGTTTCAGATCACCCCCAAAGAGACAGAGACCATTACCCTGTTGTGATTATCTTACTGCCACTGCTGTACCAGGCTGAAGGACAGACACACCACACCCCCCCAACAACTTCCACCATCACTGAGTGTCTTACGCCTCCCAGCTCAGGCTGTGGTCTTCCTCCCACCCTCCCACCATGTATCTCCCCAGAACTGCATCCCGTCCCAGTTTAAGGGCTAAGTCTTGCAAGCTGAAAGACACAGGTGTAGCATTATTTTGCTGTAACTATCTATCCTTTTTTCAGGCTTGTTTCTCTCGGAAGCAACCTGGATACATGCATGAGGGGATGGGGGACAGGACTACAGGGGCCTTCGGCCCCAGCACAGTCTGTTCAAGCAACATCTGCGGCTTGCCTGCATCCTGGGGAGCCAAGAGGCTCAGGTCATCAGGTTAGAGGGCTGATGCTGCTTCTCTCCCAGGTATTTTTTTTCTTTCCTTAAACTCTCTGACTCCTCATTTACACCTGTTAATTTGTTTGTAGGAGGGAGATTTGTTGGTGCCTCATTCATGCACACATGCTCACAACCGTCAGCCACCTCACTGGGAGCAGAGATCCCATCATTAAAAATTTTATCCAACCCAAAGCATGACACTATTTGTCTTCTAAAAAGCCCCTACATTATTATTTACTTGCCTTAAAAGGAAAGTGGGAGACAGGGGATTTCTACTGGGTCCCTGGCTTTGCCATCAAGCAGTTGCAGCTTTTATCATGTATTTTTTTTCCTTCTGTTTCCTCACATTCACACACTGTTAACACACACGTGCGCGCGCGCACACACACACACACACACGCGAAGCCTCTCCACGGCAGCATGAGCTACAGCTCCGTGCCAGCAAGAAGCCAGCCAGGCATTCGTGCTTGCACCACCATGCGCTCTGCCTCAGACTGAACGGACATCTCCAACACATAGGATACTCTGACAAAAAGCTCTAATCACTCTATGACTCTGGCCATAAGGGGTATTTAATAGCACTTGGTTTCAGATAACACTTAACGGTTACAATGGTTGACATTTGGCACTGTCTACATTACAACAGCATCAGGGACTCGGTCACAAGGTTGAAAGTCGGCGTCCCTGTAACCATGTAAAACCAGGGGCAGTCCAGCTACCCTATGCTGTGCAGCCGTGGCATCGTGAAGGGCACCTATGCGCTGCCCAGTGCAACGCAGTACAGTGAGCCTGGAGCGGTGGCTTGGCTGCTGGGAGCAGCAGAGTTGCTCCTCTGCTCCCACGGCGTCAATCGGCTTTGCCGGAGCCCTGCTGCTCCCAGCAGACGAGCCAGCTTACCTCTCACTGAACCGGGCCCGCACACCATGGACAAAACCCTCCGTGGCCTTGTAGCTGTACTTGGGCCCTTACGGACAGAATTACGTTTTCTGGGATACAGGAGATGCATCATCAAGTGAAATACTAACCTCCCTCATGATCACACTAACTCATCAGATTTACTCTTAATATAATCACAGCATTAAATGTTAAAAAAAGCCCAAACCAACAAACCAACCCATACTTGTTGATATCAATACGTTATTAAATTAAGCAACTGCTTGTACATCATCAGCTGATGATGTCCCTAAGCTCATACAGTCTTGCAAAAGGTCACTGCTGCCGGGGCAGTGGATTTTGACACTTCGGAACTGCAAGGTGTCACAGGTACAAGACAGCATGCAAAGCCATCGTTGAATGGACTATACCACTCTCTAGGCTGCTTTATGCTTCTGCCTCTCTTCGTATTGGACCAACTGTGAAATCCCAGGGTTAAAAAAAAAAAAAAAAAGAATAAAAGCATCATTAGACTGAGTTATGCTCCCTGCTTATATAGGTTTTTTGATACCGATCATACCTGACAGCACAGTTTTAAAAGGGCCTTTGGCAGCCGTCAGCAAGTGAGTCTGCTTGGTCACAGAGACTGGTGCAAGACTCTGGGTCTCCCGGGGTTTTGTTCACTTGCTTACCACCAAACCCAAGAAAAAAACCCTGCAAATTTAAAGAAACTTTAAAATTTAGTGTTTTTAATACCACACACTTTTCTGTAAGCCTCCTAAAATCTACAGGCAGCATTTTAAAAAATAAAAATATCCCCAAATTGAACAATGTGGATTTTACCTCCAATTCGTACGAGTTACCGCATCCTTATGTTACTGAGCAGAGGTGCAGGTGTCCTGGCTTCTCTCCTGAACATCTGTCTCATACCACAGATAGAAAAGGTGATGGAACCATCCCATCTTAAATTTCAAATTTTGATCTCTAGAATTTCCTACAGTCATAGACAGGTTACTTGCGGTAACACATTTTCAGACAGCTTGACGTGTTTATCTTTTTTTTTTTCTTTCTTTTCGTAAGCCTGCAAACATGTTTCCACTTTAGCAAAAAAATTTTGCCATTTGTCTTTCAATAAAGGATTCCAGATAGTGCAACATAATCAACTATGCAAATGGGCACCTACAGTTCACCAAAACCTTTGTGCCCTTTATTTGCTTGTCCTACATCTAATACAAGCCCAAGAGGGTTCCCCCTTAAATTACTTTTTTTTTCTCCTGCTTGTTTTTTTTTTCTCCTTTTATAAAAAAACTGGGAATGTCAAGATGCATTTTTGTTCTACCCAGAAACTTCTAGCAAACCAAGACATTTATCAGGTGCTCACAAACCTCACAGAATTGAATAGAGAGTTGACTGCTTAGTAGCAAACTTTTCGTCAAGTATTAACTGTAATTTTTGTTTGTTGTGTATAAACCCCACTTTGATTCTTGATCAGGATTTGCCTCCTTGGTAGCTGGCTTCCTGGGAGGCATCTATCCTCAAATAGAGAATCAACAGGAATGCATCCAGACTCAAATTTATGAAATAAAACACAAACAGGACAAAAAAAAAAATATAGCGAACCAACCTTTCTGTCTCTCATACAGCACAAAGAACCCCCCTTCCCCTCCCACCTTGCAGGACACAAAAGAGACAGAGGAGGTGGTCTGAGAAACTTAAACGGGTTGGGACCATCACCTTCCAGCTCCTGGCAGCACAGGGAACCAGCCCTTCCTGGGCCATAAAAACTACGATACTGCACAAGTTTAGAAATCCATCAGTGAACAAGGCTTTACTGACAACTTTTCATACAGTTAAAAAATAAAAATACAGAACAACAGCGGACAGTGTCACATATTAAAAATGAATAAAATGGGCTCTATTTAAATGGTATTAAAATTAATTAGAAACTAGAAGTCTTACCACTTTGGCCGAGGTGTTTTGAGCCTCCACCAAAGTGATCGGCCTTAAAAACAATTGGGTTGTGTGACACACAAAGAAAACATGGAATTTGAAAAGACAGTGTGGGCTAGGCAGTGTCTTTGACTATAACTATCACCATATGTTCTTCTTCTAACTTCCCCAATGTCCTTAGTGCTGACTGGAGGTACTGCTGAGAGAATTCACAAGGAGGGAATGCGTAAAGCATGCCTGTGCTGTCTCTGCCCTTCGCCCCTCCCACGGGCAGGCTGATAACCCCAGCAGCCTGCTTCTGTTTCAAGTAGGAGACCAGATTCCTGAGAAGCCGTCGCTGCAAGCCAGGCTCTACAACAGGGAAGGTCCCCTCAGCCCCTGCCCCTGCCGGGGTGGACTGGGTCGCCAGGAGCACAGCGTAGCCATTGGGGCTGCCTTGTTTGATACGGCGAGTTACTTCATCCAGCTTGGGCTGGTCGAGCCGAAGTCTCTGAGCAATTTTGAGCTGCGTTAACTTCCCGCCGGATGAATGGTCTTTAAGGAGTCCGTTGATGACACCAAGGTCTCCCTCCAGGATGTGCATAGAGGTGGGGAAGCAGCTGTTTTTTAGCACAAGAAGCCCATTCCAAGCAAGCTGCAGTGTTTGAGCATATTCCGATAAACTCTTTAGCTTTTTGGTCTCAGATTTTGGCTCCTCGTGAGTTTTTGATTCCGATTCACCAGTTCGATGATTGCGTTCGCTGTCCCTTTTTTTCGGCTGAGGAGCATCGGATGCCTCACGATGGGGTTTCTCCTCAGTTGCATGACGATTGTTCTGAAGGGAGTTACTCTGCTCTTTCTCGGCTCCGGATTCTGTAGTGTGATTCTCCTTGCGAGCCCTGTCCGGGCTGCGGTCTAAAGCTGGCCCACTGGCCTTTGTCCTGCTTCTGTCCTCGTAAGGCGAGTGAGTAGTCCTCCCGCGGTCACTGGAAAGACTCCGGCGTTTCCGCCTCTCTTCCCACAGTTTGGGCACGCTGCGATCGCTGTCGCTGCCCCAGCGCTCTCCGCTCCGGCTACGCACCGATCGGCTGTAGCTTTCCAAATTGTTTCTGCGTTCAACGTTTTTGGCAGGGCTGGCCCAGTCTGCCTCTGCAAAGCTCCTGTCTCTGTCCGAGTACAGGAGGTGTGGAGGAGTCCTATCTCGCACCCTCAAGTCTTGCTCTAGGCTTCTATGTCTGCTGTACCCATCAGCTAGCAGTTCGTAGTGCACGGGGAGCGGTGCGGGCTGGTACTGCTGCGGGTATCTTGTCTCTTCTGCTTTGGCAAAATCCACTCGGAGTCTCCTCTCCGGTCCACCCAAAGGAAAGCCTCTCATCTGCGCACAGGCAGCCTGGGCAGCATCCAAGCTTTCATACTGGATGTAAGCGAAGCTGTCTCCCTTCACGTAGTCAATAGTCCTGATGCTGCCGAAGCGGTCGAACTCCCTCGCCAGGGCAGCCAAAGAAGTACTGGGACCAAGACCACCCACCCACAGCCTGGTAGTAGGGTTGGCTTTCCCATAGCCAATTTTGATAGGGTTCCTGCCGACAACGCGGCCTGACATGGCAACCTTGGCCCGATGTGCCATGTCCAAGTTTTGGAACTTGAGGAAAGCGTAAGCCCCGCCTTGGCCCCGGGCAGGGCGTTTGATCACCACTTCTTCGATGATGCCGTACTTCTCGAAGGCACGTCTCAGCTCCACCTCCGAGACGTTGTGGTCCAGGTTGCCGATGAAGAGGTTGCGGGTCGCTCTCTGATCATCCTCCGGCATCAGGTCTTCCTCAGCCACGATGGGGTAACTGTAAGGGCGACCACGCTCGTCATACAGCCCGTAGTAATCCAGGGCCCTCTCCCGCTCCCGGGAGAGCCCAATGGCGGCTGCTTCCAAAAGGAAGGCGGCGGCCGCAGCGTGAGCATGCCTGGGCCGCGGCTCCCGCAGCAAGGGGCTGGTGACAGGAGAGAGCGATCTCTGCTTGTACTGGTAGGTGCTGTGAATGGGTGGCAGGTACCCCAGGGGCTCCGGAGAGGGCGCGGGGGGTGGCGTGCGGCTCCTCCTGCCCCC